CGTCAGTTTTTCCTCGACGTATAGAAAGCTTTCGTACGGCAGTGTGTACAGATTTTGTTGCTGTATGGGTATTCTTATCTCGTCGCTGTATCGGAACGTTGTGTTGGCGAAGGAATTGTACGTGTGAATTTCAATCTTGACGATGCGATCGTCGAAGATCGGCTCGTCTTTAATGATATCAATCATCTTAAACGTTGCGCACCGCGAATCCCAAAGACTTTAAAATTGTAACGTGCTGAGCTTCTTCCTAATGCAGTTAGATGAGCGAGTGTTATCGAGCTGTGACGTCGTCGGCCTTGTAAAGAACGTTATCTTTCTGTGTAATCTTCTGCTCCATTCCGTTCAGTACGAGCATCTCACGCTCACGTTATCACAGTTGACGCTGTATGTGCAATCTAACGGTGATCTCTTCTCCTTAAAAATCAAGCAATCATCCGTTCTGGTCGACGATGCGTATCGTTAGATCCGTAATACTCCGTGCGATCGGTAGGTAAATAATCTGCGCCGGCCTCTCCGATATCTTATATCCTGGCGGCACGCTCGGTGAAAATTCGTGTATCGTGTGCGCACTTTTGCCGTTGCTGTACGTATCCGCGGTCACATTACACTACGCGGATAACGTTTACGTTCATGTTGATCGACATGTCCGATTCGTGTCATCTTCGCAGTCACAGTATACGCTTCGACGAGCATTCCAGCAGCGATCCAATGCTGTTGGGCTTGCCAGTTACCAAAGTTTATTTTGTATATACATCTAATCTCGCATTTTATTGTGTTTGTGCGGAGCGTAATCGGGTATTCTGCATCCTCATCATTATCGTCATCAGTATCATTGTTGTTATTGTTATCACGCACTACGTCAACGATTTCAACTGCATCGCTGTGCGGACGTTTCCGTAAAATCGCGCGTTTCAGAAAATCATTTATGTCTCGCACTTCGTACGAACCCTCGGGATTTGTAATTTGCACATCTTTAACAAAATAAAATTTGTTGTTCGATTCATTCACGTTATCGTATGCTAAGTCTCAAAAATCGCCAGACCGAGCTCGTAATCGCCGTCACTCAAATTTATGGCGGGAGAGTAGTTAAGCGACATGACGGAAAAAGCGTTCGACTAATAGTGAGATTTCACAGTATCTCGTCGAGCTTTTTAAATTCACGGGCGTCTACCGTTTGTAGAACGCAGACACATCTGTCCGCAGAAGCTCTGATCGTACGTCTGATAGGACGTGTGATTGTACTCCATCGTCGTAGCACCGTTCCCGAAATATCGCACCAATTCCTTGGTCGAAGATTACCGAAACTGTCAAAGTATACGACGCGGTTATTCCTCTTTGCGTACGCTACAGTGAGTACCAGGCCCCCCGTCGCATCGTCCAGATTCACGATACCGCTTTCGTTTTGAAGCGCACCGCTCGTCGGTAACGCGTTACGCATGAAAATGCCTCTAAAGTATAGTATGCGCATACGTCTCGCGAGCTCGTTTAATTGCACATTGGTAGTTGCGCCAGACGGCATTTTTATCGACTTTTTAGCGTTTTTTTTTGCAGCTACACCCTATCCATATTTGTATGGAGCGAGATACAGTCCGCGGCCCTGTTCCATCGCACGATCATGACGTTGCAACTCTTCGAGCTGACGACGCGCGGCTTTATTGTCGTTTACCGCTTTTGCCACGCTGGTCGCTCCGCCGATCAAGGACCCGAGCGCGCCCAACATTAGCAGAAACGGTAACGTACCGATTCGTTTCGCCGTTAGAAGTATCTGCTTTTTTGTTGCCTTTTTCCTTATCGTGTACTTCTTCTTCGGTTTTATGCCTATGCCGATCTTGGTCTTGGCTTTCATTGCTGCCCAGACGGCAGCAGCGGCGGCTCTCTCGCCCAGAACCGAATCACTCGCGGTTTCCGCGCCTTCTCGACTAGTATATTGTCTGCCGCGTGTCTATCGGTGAGACCGTTGCTGGGCGAATACGCAGTGTCGTGTTCCCGACACGCCGCGTCCAGCGGATTTATGCCCGCGTCACTCTGACTAATCGCTTCGCAAGCCGAGTGGCTGGGCCGCAAAATTGGTAACCTGGAATATGTAATTTGAAAGCAAGCACGTTTACCGCTCGATTCAACAGACTGCTCGACGCTGAAATTCGCTACAGTCCTTTGTCTTAGGTGCGGGATCGTCGATGTGCGTTCGCTGCCACGGCTGATTGTCGTGCTCGTCGTAGCGACGATAGGTTCGAACCTCCGAATCTGCCTTCACTTGTTCCGGAAGCTTGTCCCAGACGTATTCGATGTAATCGCCGTACACGCGTAAGAGTACGACCTTCGGTATATATTGTAACTTCTCGTCGCTCAAGTCCCGAATATCGGAAAAATGACCCAGCGCGAGATACATTTTGCTACTGCGCGGTTCGCGTGTCTTTAAATAGTCGTTCGAGAGCGCACAGCCTATAGTGTGAGCATGAAATTCGTGCTGCAACCGCTTACGATACGCGTCACGAACTGCGACGAGAAATCGCGAATGATAGGGGACAGCGCGGAGAAGTGCAAACACGGCGAAATGCTGCCGAATACTATACGCGCGATCATTTGCTGCCCGTCGAATTATGATAAAGCCAACGTTTTCATAAGGTTACTCGAAAGCCCGAACGGTGTTCGTTTTGAGAACGTATACGTCTATTCGAAATTGTTGCAACAGCCAAAGTATCGATATCTCAAAAATTTGTTTACGTCTATCGATGAAATCGGCTACTTTACGTTTTCCAACAACAGCGACATCGTTCTACCAAGTGAGGCGCGCCAAAATTCTATTTTTATCTTTGATGACGTGGCATGCGATAAGCAGGATGCGGTGAGAGAATACTTTTCGATGGATCGTCACGTGAACGTCGACTGCTTCTATCTCTGTCAGACGTACGCGAGGATACCTAAACATCTGATACACGACAACGCGAACCTGCTGATCCTGTTCAAACAGGACGGTACCAACTTGAAACACGTTTACAACGATCATGTGAATATCGACATGTCATTGACACACCGACGACGAATTTTGCGCGTTATGCCGCTGCTGTTGGCAGCAAAAATATGGATTCGTAGTGATAGACAAAGACAGTACGCTCACAAATGGACGACACAGAAAAGGACTTAACGAGTTCGCGATACCGTAACGCGACCAGTTGTTGTCGATACTTGGCCAGAGACGAACATGGCAGATGTGCGTGAAAAAATCGCGAGGGAGATCGAGAAGACGAGCGATTCGATCTGCAAGAAACATCGCGCTCTAAAGACCGGTAGAATCGAGGAGGACATCTCATTGGACAGACATTTTAAACCTCTTATCGAGCCGCTGCGACTTTTCGTCGACAGCCCCAATGTGCGCGCGACAAAGAGAAAGTCGCGCGATAAAGATGCAGTGTCTGCCCATAAACGTGAGAGGAAGGAGGAAGAAGAACAAGATGAGAGAGAAGAAGCGAGCGAGACTTCGAGCATTCCACGACTCCATAAATCCAATGATCGATCGTACGATGATGTACAACCAATAACCTCCACCCCATGTGCCAAAATCGTACCGACGATAGAGTCATTGGAGAACGTTTTTCAAACGACGGAAGACTCGCTAGCGACGAAGGTTCAAAATCAGTTGCAAACGTCGGAAGATCGAGAGGCGTTACGAGCAGGCTTGGGCCCGCTGGGTCAAAAGTACGTCAAGGCTGTCCTGAGGAGAACGCAAGATAAAGAGAGTGGTATAGATCACGTACACGGCGTTTATCTACACAAGGATGAGCTGATGAAGTTTGGCAATAAACATTTCGACGCGGACAACATAATTATCGATGGCGTACGATACGCCCAGTCTTTACGAATTGATTTTCAAGAGAATTTCCGACGATGCCCTCTACACGGAAAACGATATGCACAAGTACAAAAGCATGTTGTTGGTGACAAACGCTCACAAACACAAGTACCATTCGCAGGGTCGATTATTAAGCAACAGAGAATACAAGTACAAACACGTAATCGCGCCGTTGATGTTGAACACATTCAAGAAACAGAAGAAAAAATCTGGAAAGGGATTACCTCACGCAATGACATTGAACGACAACGCGATTAATTATGTGCACTAGGATGATAACGAGTTGGTGGATCATCTACGATTGTTCGACGCTTCGCACCGAGCAGGCAACAACGCTCATGACAACGAGATGCTGTTGATCATCGAGGAACTTCGCGAAGTCGGTCTTATTATAAATTAAATCACGTATCCATAAAACGAGTCAGTCGAGTAATATCAGCGAGAAAAAATACATTAGTTTCTTGTACTCTGTGTATTACACGTCGAATCATGGAAAAGAAATCTGATGAAAAGAGAGAAAAAATTAGCTCCGAGAGACGGCTCGTCGAGGAATTGCACGCTCCGGTGAGAAGAAATTTTCCGTGAAGGCGCGTCATAGTCCGAGAATATGATGATCTATGGTAAGCTGATATCGTTGAGATGCACCCGTACTCGGGCTTTAACAGAAGCCACCACTACATACTCACCGTCATCGATGTGTTGAGCAAGTACGCGTGAGCCGTATCGCTCAAGAGCAAGGGTGGAAGCGAGACGACTAACCATGTCGTTCGAGAGAGTGGAAGATGTTTGAAAAATTTACAAACGGATATGGGGAAAGAATTTTACAACGCCGATGTACAGAAAAGCTTAAAAAAATACAACGTTAATCACTATTCCACGTTGAAAGTGTCAGTGGTCGAGCGGTTCAATCGCACGCTTAAAAACGACATGTGGAAGATGTTTACACTCTACGGCAATTATAAGTGGGTCGAGCTGCCGCGTCTTGTGCCAGATTACAACTCGCGCAAGCATCGCACCATCAGCATGCGACCCGCCGACGTAACTTCCGCGATTGCCGAAAGACTCTTAGGCACAGTATACAGCGCAATAAAGATCACGGGTACTGCAAAATTAAAAATAGGCGATTTGATACACATTTGAGCAAGTACAAGACGATTTTTGAGAAGGGTTACACACCAAATTGGACCACTGAGATGTTTACGATCTTTAAGGTGCCGCGTACCAATTCCGTAACCTATCTATTCGAGGACTATCGTGGAAAATCCATTGCTGGAGCGTTCTACGAGCACAACGTTACTAATCTGGATGTGAATCTCGTGGAGAAAGTATTGCGCAAGAAGGGCGACAAAGTGTATGTCAAGTGGTTGGGATTCGATAGATCGCACAATTCATGAATATACAAAAACAATGTTATTTGATAAAATTTTAAATGATATATTTTGTATACCAGGTGTACAAGTATGAAATGCGGATTTGAGAAAACAGATGGCGCATCAATGCAGTGTGTGGTATAAAGATTTGACTGTTATGCCATTTTGAAGTGCCATCAACAAGTGTCAGACGCGCATGAGTGATAAATTGAAAAAATGTTTGCATAGTGTTGTGTTGCTGTGTTCGATATGTTGAAATTTATACCAAACAAAGAGCATTCGCGGACAGCATTAATTTTTTGTTTTCATTTGAAGAAAACTGCTGCTGAATCATACCGATTACTTCGAAAAGCTTATGGTGAACATGCTCCATCGCAAGATACGTGTGAACGATGGTTTCGGCGTTTTAAAAGTGGTGACTTTGATGTTGCAGACAAGGAACACGGAAAACCGCCAAAAAGGTACGAAGATGTGGAATTGCAAGCATTGTTGGACGAAGATGATTCACAAACACAAAAACAACTCGCAGAG